CTAATCCAGGGATGTGAGGCCTGGTCGGTCCCCTAGAGGGTCCTGGTGGCCAGCAGGCACAGGGAGGACCCACAGCTGTGCCTGGGGCCCTCGTTGAAGCTGCCCCCTGTGACCTGTGATCGCCATCATGCCCGTCAAGGAGTGAGTGGGCGAGTGAACAGGTGGGCTCCTTTGCGGGGACAGGGTGGGTGGGTCACTGAGAGCCCAGTAGGTTCTCGTGGACTGGACTTCGACATAGGTATCCTGAGGCTACTGGGACTTGGGATGCCGGCATCCAGTTGGGGATAGAACTGGAACCCAGAGCCCAGTGATGGCTGGCTCCAAACCCGTCCCCAGTGTCCTGACTAGTCTCTGCTCCCAGGGACCCCTGGCCCCGAGGGTGACCTTGGTGAGCACTCAGCCCTCTGAGCTCTGGAGGGAGGGAGGGTAGGAAGGAATATGTGTGGCTTCTGTTTCCTACATGTGCTGGGACAGATGAGGACCAGAGGTTGTCAGCGGCAAACCAGGCAGGCACACACAGGCTGTTGGGTCCGGATGGTCCAGGCGCCGGGAGATGGAAGGTGGAGACAGGAGGCTGCCCTGTTGGGCCTCTGGCCGAGCTCTGGGGGGTGGGCTCCCGCGTCAGTGGGTTTGGTGTCAGCAGAGGGGCCCTGACATGGGACGGGCGGCAGCCCTGCGGTGTGAGGACGGCCTGCGTCACAAGGAAGGCCGTGCCCTGATGGCCCTGCCGAATCTCACCACGGCTTCCGTGCTGGTTCCTCGTTTCTGGTGGTTTCCATACTCCCCACTGCATTTCCCTGTCCCTTCAGGTCCTTAAGAGAAAGCTGTTGTTTTGGAGAAGGGGCTGGGGACTGAAGGCTGTGAGGAGAGGACACGGTGGTGCCCTCCTGGCGGCACAGAGAGGGAACCAGCAACCTCAGAGCTGGTGAGGAGGCCTGCGGCCTGGGACAGGCCTGGGACTCAGCCCTGGGGCTGAGTGCAGCCAGGGGAGGGGCCCCCACGAGGTGGGGGTGGCAGGGGTGGGGAGTTGCCATGGGTGGTTTGGTGGTTGATTACAGGGTCATAGTGCCTGGTGCTTCTCCTGTTTTCATTCTGATCCCCAAGATGTCCTCGGCCACCCTCGCTGCACCTGAGCCGGGGATCGTGAGATGGGAAACAGAGTCCTTGGTCCAGGCAACACAGAGAGCGAGTGGGCAGCCCTGGCTGGCTCGAGTGGCCACTCGTTTTCCTCCTGTGTAGGTAAAACCCAGCTCTCCCTTCTCCTGTGTGTATCTCCCTTGCTCCTCACTCAGAACGTCTCACTTAGGGTCACCAAGTGTGTGGGGTTCTCCCCACACCAAGCAGTGCTCTGGAACACCACCTGCGAGTCCTATAATTTAACTGGATTCTGACACTGTCTACCTGGAGATAGCCTCAGACCCCAGGTATGGGGCCCAGTCCCACAAGACCACCCCCCACTTCAGACACCAATTGCAGATCGAGGGTCCCCAGGTCACCCATATTTCTGTGACTTGGATGCAGATCTGGGTCCCATGACTGCTTCCCCTTTGAATTCAATGGATTTGCTGGAGCAGCTCAGAGAACTCAGGGAAACACTGATATTTACCAGTTTACCAAGGGATACGATCAAGGAAACAGATGAGCAGCCAGATCAAGAGGTGCATAGGGCAGCACAGGGGCTTCTGTCGCCGTGGAGTTGGGGTGCGTCATCCTCCTGGTGTGCATGCGTTCACCAGCAGGAAGCTCTCAGACCCCTTACTTTTGGGATTCTTTCTTTTTTCTTTTCTTTCTTTCTTTTCTCTTTCTCTCTTTCTTTCTCTCTATTTTTTAATTCATGAGAGACACAGAGAGGCAGAGACATAGGCAGAGGGAGATGTAGGCTCCCTGTGGAGAGCCCAATGCGAGACTCGATCCCAGGACCCCGGGATCACGACCTGAGCTGAAGGCAGATGTTCAGCCACTGAGCCACCCAAGTGCCCCACTTTTGGGATTCCTACAGAGGCTTCATCACATAGGCTTGATGGATCATTAGCTCTGTTTTCAGCCCATCTTCCTCCTCAAAAGAATTGGGTGGGGCTGAACGTTCCAAGCTTCCAAGCATGGCTTGGTCTGTCCTGTGACCAGGAGCCATCCAGGAGTCACATCATTAGAACAAAGGACACGCTTGTCACCTAGGAAATTACAAGGGTTTCTGGAGCTCTATGCAAGGAACCAGGGAAAGAGACCCTGACACATTTCCTATGAACTCACACCAGTAGAAAGGACTGCCTTTCAGCTGGGAGTGTGTGAGGTCCTGGCTCTGGGGAGGCTTGCCCAGGCCCCCCTCCTTCCCACCCTCCCAGCCAGTGCTCAGCCCTCTGGCAGCAGCCCGCATAGGCAGGGGGATCGCAGAGCTGCAGCCCCGTGACGTGGGCCTTACTTTGGCCACACCAGCCGGTATAGCCCTGGGCTTGAGGCCAGCTCCCAGTGCCCACGGAGCAGAGGGAGAAGAGTCCAGAAACAAAAGGGTGCCGTTGGCACTGTAAACACTGCCCCATCTGCCTCTCCTGTGCGCAGGTGGAGGGACCCGTCCTGACGTCTGTGTCTGTGTCCCGGGGCTGAGATGGGGGGCAGGGAAGATATTTCCCATCTGATGCCGTTTTGATGTCTCCTGTCAGCAGCTCCAGCCAAGGCTCCTGGGGTCCCACCTGATGTCCAGTTGGTCCCCTTGGCCCAGTGACCCGGGCGTCAGCTTGTTGTATAGTCAAGCAGCTGGGAGTCTACCGCCTGGGCAGGCTGGGAGGGCGGTGCTGGGTCAGGTCCCATGGGGTCCTGCAAAGCCCGGCCGTCCTATGTTGGGGTGAGGATGTGGGGGATGAGTGTGTTAGGGAGCTCAGCTCTCCCCTCACCGTGTGCCCAGGCTGAAGGCCTGGTGAACCAGAAAACCAGAGGCTGCTTCCAGCCAAGGCGCCGCTGCCGCACTATGAGCAGTTTGTAGCCAGCTCCTGGCCCTGCGTGCTCAGCCTCAGTCCCTCCCCGCGAGACGCAGGACGTGAGTCCCTGTCTGAGAGGCCAGAGGACCTGACGGCCCGCTCCCGGCTCTGCCCCACGATGAGCAGGCCCCACGCTCTGATTTCCCCCCACAGGAGGCCAAGGGGGAAGCAGGGTGAAGGCCTGGAGGGACCGGGGACCCCAGGCTGCCCCTCTGCCCCCTTCCCTGCTCTGAGGATGGCCACAGAGGGGGTGTGTGCAGTCGGATGGGCTGAGGGGAGAGCTGCTCGAGCCCGGCCTCTGCTGCCAATGCCTGGCCTCGGCCGTCAGTCTGGCAAGTGGGGTCCCAGGGGGGCACGCGTGGAGCACAGGTAGCCAGCCACAGGCCTTGGGAGCGAGGCGGCTCCTAGGCCCCCAGGCTCTTCAGGACCCTGCTGCTCCCCAGAGCCCACAGTTTCTCTCCTCATTTATTGCTGTGTAGCCACATGACCACAAAACTAGGTGCGTAAGGCCACACACACGTGTCTCCCATGTCTGGGGGACAGGAGTGTGGCCACAGTGTAGCTGGACCCTCTGCAGTCTGGGGAAAAATCTCCTTCTGAGCCCACGTCGTCCCTGCAGTTGTCAGTACCTTATGTCCTTGCCACGTGGGCTCCCCCACAGGGCCACTTGCTCCATCGAAGGCAGCAATGGGAAGAGGAACGTGGCTGTTAAACTGTGATGTAATCACATGTGGCATTGCCACATTGGATGTGTTGCATGGAGACAGGCGAGTCTCAGGTCCCATGGATACCCCAGGGTGCTGGCTCCAGCAGGGGGCCACCTTTCCATCCCAGCCTGCTACACCCTTCCTGCCTTTTCTCACAGACTGCTTGCCCTACCCCCCGCACCCCCCCCATTAACCCACTGGATAGATATAGATGGAAGGTGCTCAACTGGCTGAGGGGCCAGTGTGGGGAGCTCCCCTAGCACCGTCCACTGGAGCTCTCCCTTTGTAAGTCTGTCCCCCCCTGAACTGTAAGCTGTTGGGAGGTAGGGGCTGCCCCAACTCTGCGTCCTGGAGCCTGGGGCTGCTGGAAACGTGTAGGGACTTGGCACGGTATTTGTGGAGTGAGCCAAAGAACTAACACAGCAGGTGGTGAAGAAGGGCCGGTTAATAAATGAAGGGATGTTGCTCTGGAGCTGAAAGAGGTTCAAGTTCAGTGACAGCGTGGACTTGGAGGCTGCTGTTAGCTCCCTAAGCTTCTGTTTCCCCAGCTGAGCAGTGGGGAGTCTGATCACACCTCCCGTGAAGGCCGTCGTGAGGAGTTCCAGAACACTCGCAGGAGCCCTGTGCTGGAGGCTGACGGCCTTGTCATTGATGGTCACTGGTCAGCCTGGCTGGTGGCTGAGTCTAGAGCCTTTCACCTGGGATGCTGGCCTGCAGAGCCCTCGGCGGCGGTGGCAAATAGGATCAGATGCTCTGCAGAGCCAAGCTCAAGGCCAGGCCATGCAGGGGGTGGGGGTGGGGGTAAGGGTGGGGGTGGGGGTAGGGTACAGGCCAGCCTATGAGCCGCCGGATTGCACAGCCCCTGTAGCTGTGCCAGCAGGCAGCTGGCTCTCTTTGATTTAGCTGGATTCTAAAATAAAGTTTTTAGATAAGCAATCTCTCTGGAAGAGACAACCAGGGGGTTTACCCAGCAGGCTCTAGCTCTCTCCTCTCTGGGAGGGAGCTCTGACTCCAGAGAATTCAAGGGGGCACCTGGGTGGCTCAGCGGTTGAGCGTCTGCCTTTGCCTCAGGTTGCGATTCAGGGTCTAGGGATCGAGTCCCACATGGGGCTCCCCCACAGGGAGCCTGCTTCTCCCTCTCTCTGTGTCTCTCATGAATGAATAAATAAAATCTTTAAAAAAATAGAGAGAGAGAGAGAGAGAGAGAGAGAATTTGAACCTCCACCTAGTTGACTTGCTTCCCGGCCAAGCCATGTGGCCAGTCACCCTCCTGCTTCCACCCTTGCCTGTCATGGGCGCCACGGGGTGAAAGATCGCTTCCAGTTGGTTGGCTTCCAGGTAGACGTACTTGGACAGCAACTTGCTTTCGAACCAGCCCATTGCAGAGAAGCCCGCACGGAACATTGACCCTGGCCACCGCGGCCGCGGCACCTGGGTCAGAGTGATGAAGGTGCTGGCTCCATTATGCCCACCGTGGATGATATTCTGGAGCAGGTCGGCGAGTTTGGCTGGTTCCAGAAGCAAGCCTTCCTGACCCTATGCCTGCTCTCGGCTGCCTTCGCCCCCGTCTACGTGGGCATCGTCTTCCTGGCCTTCACCCCGGATCACCGCTGCCTGAGCCCCGGGGCGGCCGAGCTGAGCCGGCGGTGCGGCTGGAGCGCGGCGGAGGAGCTCAACTACACGGTGCCGGGCCCGGGGCCCGCGGGCGACGCCTTCCCCCGCCAGTGCCGCAGCTACGCGGTGGACTGGAACCAGAGCGCCCTGGGCTGCGTGGACCCGCTGGCCGGCCTGGCCGCCAACAGGAGCCACCTGCCGCTTGGGCCCTGTCTGCACGGCTGGGCCTACGACACGCCCGGCTCCTCCATCGTGACCGAGGTGAGGCCGGGCCCTGTGTTTGAGGGACCAGGAGGGCTGCAGGGGCAGGGAGGAAGCACACCGCAAATCCTAGAAGGTTCAGCTTCGCATCAGGGAAGAAGGGAGGAGAATTTTATTCGCTGATCACCTAGGACATGTCCGGCACTGTTCTGGGCACTCGGTGGCCTGCTTCTCCTGTCTGGTCCCCTGTAGATGTGGGGTATTAGAGGAGCGGGCTGGAGGTAGGGGAGACCTTTGCAAGCCAGGCTGAGCTGGATTGTTAGGACATGGGTCTGCGGGGAGACAGGTTCCTCTTCTTTCTGGCCCACTGGCTTCTCTAAGAGCCTGCTGCATTCACTTGGGGTGTCATTAGATTGGTCGGTCTCCCTTTCTGCACTCATGAGAGAGCTAAATGCTGGCTGGGATCATGTGGAAGCAGCTCTGGCTTTGGAGAAGGACCTTTTCTTTCTTTTTATTTATTTACTTATTTATTCATGAGAGACACACACAGAAAGAGAGGCAGAGACTCAGCAGAGGGAGAAGCAGGCTCCAGGCAGGGAGCCCCACGTGGGACTCGATCCAGGGGCTCCAGGATCAGGCCCTGGGCTGAAGGCGGCGCTAAACCGCTGAGCCACCTGGGCTGCCCGGAAAAGGACCTTTTCAAAGCCAGCCGTGCCACAGATCAGTTGGGCGTCACTGAGTACGTTACTCAGGGCCTCTGAGCCTCCACTGCCTCACGGGCCAGCCAGGAATGGCAAGTCACCTGCCCCACAGGATTGGCAAGTTCAACGGTACATGGCATCAGTGCTGGGGCTGCGTCAGGGGCCCCGCTCCTGGCCTACAGGTGGGACGATGGCGTCAGAGGCCTCATCTGCATAGTTCAGTGGGTTCTTTCTGTATGGTGCCTTGAGAATATTTTAATAAAAAGCCACTAGATTTTTTTTTCCCCTTCATAGACCTTGTAAAAAGTGTCACATTGTGAAAAGTGTGGGCACTTGGAGATTGGCATTGAGGACCATTGTTGAAACCACAGGCCGGAAGTTATGCAGAGGCGCTCTGTTAGCAAAGCCTGGTTTTGGCGAGGGCACTGCTTAGCTGGAACAAGAGGTCACTTAGTGGTTTCAGCGTCAGCACAGCCAAGGCTCCTACTGGAGGAAAGAGCTGTGTCCTCTTCCCTTGCCTGATCAAGGGGCAAGGCTGGGGAGGGGACAGCACAGAGGTTTCTCCTTCAGGAGGAACAGGCGCAGGTGTGACTTGCTTTACCTGCCACTGCCTGAACACCTGGTCTCCAACACATCCTCCAAAGACAGGTAACCAATGAGATGCCTCACTCCCGGGGGGACCAAACTGTCTGACACTCTGGCTGGGAATCTAGATCCGACCAAGACAGGGAGGTGTTTGTTCTGTTCTCTGTGATGAGACCTCCTCTGCTAGTAAAGGACCGGATGCCATCTTTCATCTATTCACTCCGCGGTCTGCTCACTCAGGAAAGTGTCTGAGCCTTTGCTCTGCTCCCGCACCACCATGGGGCTGGGAGGGACACAGGCCGTGAGCTTCCCTCAGGGAGGCTGCAGTCTCCAGGGCAGTGAGAAGAAGACCAGTGCCCGGGGTCACGTGTGGGCAGACACACAGGGGCCGTTGGGCTCCTGGGGTAGATGTGTACCTTGGCTGCTGCACAGATCATGGGCACCTTCCAGAAGGAAGTGGCATTTGAATGGAGCCTCGGGCAGTATTCTGAGCAGCAAGGAGAGGGAACAGGACAGACCGGGAGAAGGAGCAAGGGGCAAGGCTTGGGGGAGAGGGAGTGTGTGCTAGGTTCATTTGGGACAATGAGCTGTTACATTGCATAGAATTCAGGGTTCTTTTTTTCTAAGATTATTTATTTAATCATGAGAGACACAGAGAGAGGCAGAGACACAGGCAGAGGGAGAAGCAGGCTCCCTGCAGGGAGGCCGATGTGGGACTCGATCCCAGGACCCCGGGATCATGACCTGAGCCAAAGGCAGATGCTCAACCACTGAGCCCCCAGGTGCCTGCAGTTCAGGGTTCTGTGGAGGAACACAGGCGTGAAGGGTTGGGGACTCCTCACTTTCCCTCGAGAGCCCAGAGTACTCATGTAAGGTTGCCAGATAAAATGCAGGACACCGAGTTAAATAGGAATTTCAGATAAAAGCCAAACAATTTTTTCAAAAGATTTTACTTATTTTTTCATGAAAGACACACAGAGAGAGAGAGACACCGGCAGAGAGAGAAGCAGGTTCCCTACGGGGAGCCCGATGCGGGACTCAGTCCCAGGACCCTGGGATCACGACCTGAGTCCAAGGCAGACGCTCAATCTCTGAGCCACCCAGGCGCCCAAACAATTTTTTAAAGATTATTATGTCCCAGTTTTTGTGCATTTATTTGATGCTGAGAGCCAAGGCAGGGAATACAAGCATTGCATGTGACATACTTACACTAAAAAAAAAAAATGTGTTGTTTATTTGAAATTCAAATTCTGAGTATTCTGGATTTTTTTTTTTCTAAACCTGGCAACCCTGACTTCATGTCAGATGAGGAAGTTTGGTTTTGTTTAGGCAGAAAAGCAAAGCAAGACAGTCCTGGCTGGACCTTGGGAGTGGTCTGGACCCAGGGTGCTGGGGCAGGGGGCATCCCCGGAAGGAGGGGGAGCTGAGCCGCAAGCCCCATGAGAAGCATCTACCCACAGGATGCTTCAGGGGAGACGCAGGGCTGGCCTGGGTTGGGGGAAGGGCCCCCACTTGCCTGAGGGTTCTGGGGGTGTGGGTGAGCGGGGCAGGAGCTTGGCAGGGTGGTGGCCCGGAGGGGAAGACACAAGAGGACAGAGAAAGAGCTCCAGAACCCAGTGGCCATCGGTGGCAGCAGGGGTGAGCTTCCATGAGACCCCAGATCTCAGCTCCGACAAGGATGGAGGGGATCCTGAGGCTCTCATCCACAGACGGAGCAAGGAGAAAGTGGCTGTGGGTAGAGCATGAAGGGCGGTGGGAGTCTGTGGAGATACCAAGTGTGACAAGACCAGGGCTCTAGGATAGGGGGTGGGGGGCAGGAGGACTCAGCACTCTTCATCCCCGTTGCTTTAAATCTGCCTTTGCCTCTTGCTCTTCATCCTAAACTGAAGCAGATTCTCCAGGGATTCACCTTAGTGATTCCGTTCTGCAGAAATAATCTTTAATTTAGCCTTGCCCTGGACCTTGGAACTTGCTTACGGGAGGATGCTGAGCCAGCTGGTTTGAACACCCCGGTGTCACCAGCCCCCCACCCTCTGCACTAGGGAGGGGGCTGCGGCTCCTTCTGGGGAAGGAATGTGCCTACTTCCCCTGACTCCTGAGTCCCCTGTTGGGAGGCCCTGTCCTGCCAGCTGCAGCCCCATGGTGGACTGGGGGCCCCCCTCCAGGCTGGGAAGCCCTGTCTTCCCCTGCTTGTGAGCATGAGCCTGAGCTCAAGCAAGGCCTCAGCCTGAGGTCATGGGAGTGCTTATACCATTTGCACACTTGTCTCAGCCTAGAGATCTCCTGGGATTGGCTGAGGAGGTACAGCATCTGGGTTCTGACAAGGCCTCTGGGTGATTCGTAGACAAGCTTGGAGAGCACTGCCTGCTGCTTGGTAGACAGTGCCTGAGACACCAGGCCCAGGCCGGTGGAACCCCAGCGGGGGCAGCGACCCATCCAGCGCCCCCATGCTGTGCAGTCCCAGGCTTTTCTGAGGGCTGGGCCTGTCTTCCTGGTGTGCACAAATGGGCTGGGGGGCAGTGGTTGGGTGTGAGTTGGGGGGGTGGGCACAGGGCATGGCAGGCGACACCAGACACCGATCCTGAGCGTAGCAGAGCGGGGGCAGGGACCTCAGCAGGAGGCCATGGTGACAGGTAAAGCTAGATGCTCCTTCCTCTAGTGCTGTGAGTGCTCTGGCTTCTGCACAGTCTGGGGACAACGTGGAGCCTGGTCCTGCTCATTGCAAAAATTGGAGCACAAGACGAAACCAGTGCCCCACAGCTTCGGGGAAATCTAGGGTACACAGATGTGGTCTCAGACGGTGTGGGTGGAGGCTGCAAAAAACCAGTAGGGCAGTTGGAGATACAGACCCGGGGACGGCCAGATAGCACCCAGGAGTGACCTGTCCCTCCGTCTTTAACGGCAGGGCCTGGGACAGGCCGGGAAAACCAAAGAACAAGAGGAGAAGCTTCGTGGGGAGGGTGTGCTTTCAGCTGAAGGGAACAAATGTTTGGGTTGGTAGAGGGACTGCCCGAGACGCCCCGTGGTGTCTCGTCATGCCCCAGAGCCGAAGCCGTCACGGGAGTGGACCGCGGGGTCTGGGCGTAGACAGCTGGTGGTAGGACAGGCTCACGATTACTTTCTCAAAATGAGGTGGTGACACAGAGCGCTACCTATGTTTTATTTTAAAAAGTGCTCATGTCCAGGAAGTAAGCAGCCAGGAATGGGGAGGGGGAGAGGGCCCAGGCGGGGGCTCCACCTTGACCTCTACCTTCTCGGAGCCCCGCAGAGGACGTGGGCCACCTCATCCTTGGGCCTGTCACGTGCGCAGGTGTGTGACCCCTGAGGTGGGGCTACCCCTAAAACACAGCAAAGGCCTCCCACACTTTCCTGCCTTGGCCTCCCTGGCTCTCGGGATGTTGGTCCCTGAGTCTCCAGGCACCCTGGGCCCCACCCACAGGACGCTAGCGCACACGCTGCCCCCGCCAAGCCCGCCTTCTTGCCATGGTGTCTGTGCTCATCCCCTCCTGTGGCCATGTGTGGCAACACCAGTCATGACCTACGGAGTTATCTGCAGATTTCACATAATTAAATATATAACAAATAGGTACTTAACTGAGGGCTTCTGACCAATCCTCGGAAACATATTCTATTTCTTTTGCTACATTTCTATCTTTAGGAAGTTACTGCACTCTACTTCTTTCCAGAAGACTTATCTGTTGGCTGTGTTGTCTTTCAATAACCGACTCTTGATGTCAAAGCACTTGACAGTAGTGAGGGTAAAACAAAGATGTTGGGTAGATAGTGGTAGTAACGGAGAGTTGCCAGAAACCTTGAATCTGTCTTATGAAAATGTGGGAAGGGAAAGTGATGTGAAACCCTTGAGAGTATCACACTTTGTGGTGAGCATTGACTTTGGAGACAAGACAGTAGATATGGCTTGACTTACAAACGGTCTTGTGTTTTCGGCCCGTCTGCCCGTGGTGTGATGCGCAGTTCAACCTGGTGTGCGACAACTCTTGGAAGGTGGATCTCTTTCAATCCTGTGTGAACCTGGGCTTCTTCCTCGGCTCCCTGGGGGTCGGCTACATTGCAGACAGGTACGTAAAGTCCAATTCGACCAGACATAGCGCCGATGCCATGAGAAGAATGGATCGTAGGGGATAGTGGTAGAAGAATCTGGCCAGGTGACAGAGAAAAGCACCAAAGCCTGGTGCTTCGGACTGGGGTGGGGCAGGAAGATGAGTCAGGCTGGGATTTGGGATGGATTTCAGGGGTCCAAACTCCATGCAGATTGTAGAATTGGGGTGGTGGGCTGAGAGAAGATGGGGTCAAAGCCAAGGTTTATGCATGGAGCAGATGGGTGAGGGGAGGATGGGGCCATTTTTTGAGATGGGACAGAGTGGATTAGAAGCAGACTTTGTTGTGGGGGTGGGAAGCCGTCAAGAGTTCTGTCCTGGCCGAGGGAATTCTCAGCTGTGCTAAGAGTGGCCCTGGAGGCACAGAAGAGATGTCAAGTAGGGGTTGCATACATGAGCTGTGCTCAGAAGAGGGATTTGTGCTAGAGATAAATATCTGGGATTTGTCACCAGAAGCTGTCAACCACGTTCGAGATAAGCTAGCCGAGAGTATAGAGAGACGTGTAGATGTTGGCGGGGAAGGAATTGCTGGCAGAGGAGATTTATTTATTTATTTATTTTTTTATAAATTAATTTTTATTGGTGTTCAATTTACCAACATACAGAATAACACCCAGTGCTCATCCCGTCAAGTGTCCCTCTCCGTGCCCGTCACCCATTCACCCCCACCCCCCGCCCTCCTCCCCTTCCACCACCCCTAGTTCATTTCCCAGAGTTAGGAGTCTTTATGTTCTGTCTCCCTTTCTGATATTTCCCACTCATTTCTTCTCCCTTCCCTTATATTCCCCTTCACTATTATTCATATTCCCCAAATGAATGAGAACATACACTGTTTGTCCTTCTCCGATTGACTTACTTCACTCAGCATAATACCCTCCAGTTCCATCCACGTTGAAGCAAATGGTGGGTATTTGTCGTTTCTAATGGCTGAGAAATATTCCATTGTATACATAAACCACATATTCTTTATCCATCATCTTTCGATGGGCACCGAGGCTCCTTCCACAGTTTGGCTATTGTGGACATGGCTGCTAGAAACATCGGGGTGCAGGTGCCCCGGCGTTTCATTGCATCTGAATCTTCGGGGTAAATCCCTAACAGTGCAATTGCTGGGTCGTAGGGCAGGTCTATTTTTAATTCTTTGAGGAACCTCCACACAGTTTTCCAGAGTGGCTGCACCAGTTCACATTCCCACCAACAGTGTAAGAGGGTTCCCTTTTCTCCGCATCCTCTCCAACATTTGTTGTTTCCTGCCTTATTAATTTTCCCCATTCTCACTGGTGTGAGGTGGTATCTCATTGTGGTTTTGATTTGTATTTCCCTGATGGCAAGTGATGCAGAGCATTTTCTCATGTGGCAGAGGAGATTTAAACGAAATGGCAGGGAGATGGAAGGGCAGCGACTCTCCTGGGGTAGTGTGAAGCTATAGAATGCAAGACGGGTCTGGCCCAGTGGGGAGGAGAGGCCAAAATCTGGGGACTTGGTCCCTTAAGTACCAGTGACAGGGATGGTAGCAGGGGAAGGCTGAAGAAAAGCAAGAGAGAGAAGGAAGTGGAGTTTGTGCATGTGGACGACTCTGCAGGGCAGGTGGGCTGCAGGGACAGGGGACAGGGGAAGGGTCCAGGAAGGGGACGATGGCATCGTGGAAGGTGCGAGGGACCAAAGGGGCAGTGGACGGGCTGGCCCTGGGGGAGCTAGCTGAACAGCCTTTGGTCAGAGGCGCAGGAGAAAAGATAGAGGAGGTGGACACGGGTGTCATGAGGTCTGAGTGTTCTGAGGTGATAAGGGGTGAGTGTCCGACAGGAAGTTTCTATGTTAGTACAGGACGAGGACGTTTACGGGCTGGTGGGTAGGTGCGCTGGGCAGGGGCAGGGGCTTGAGGTGAGGAGGCAAGGAGTAGGGGGGTGAAGGCCCGGGCTGGAGTCTAGGAGGCAGGGGGCAGGGAGGGGGAGACTGGGGTGGGGACCAGGGTACCGTGACCACACAGGACGTTGGCCCCTTGCTTCCTTGCGTAGCCACCAGAATGCCGGGTCAGGTTGGAAGGTTGGAGTCAGTGAAGCACCGCCCGGGAAGGAGAGTTAGCACACGATTTGCCCATTTCATTCATGAAAAAAGGAAAAGGAAATAATCCTCAGGAGTTACACCATCAGAACGGAGTATTTTCCCAGAGAAGTTCCTGAGGCTGCTGCTAAGTCTAGCATGAGGGCGCCCGCTGTCAAACCCTGTTAATAATAATACAGTCGGCTAGGCGATGAGGGGGGCCATGCAGGGGACCCTGCAGAGCCACCAGGGGAGCACCCCCTCCTGGCCGAGACACCAGGTGCCTGAGAGCACCGGGGTCCGGGGTTCCCCCTTACAGTGATTTAATGAACCTCGGAAGGGCCGCTGTTCCCTGAGGACCACATGGCCGGGCTCTCAGGTCGGGGGTCCCTCAGGAGACCAGTGACATGGGCCTCCCGATCGAGACCCCGTCTGTCCCTTGGGGCTCATAGGTCCCCAAACACTCAACAGCCCCACTTCACTTCCCTGTGTCCTTGCCTCTGAAGGTTTGGCCGAAAATTATGTCTCCTGGCCACCTCGCTCACCAGTGCGGTCCTGGGTGTCCTCACGGCCGTGGCGCCAAACTACACGTCCCTGCTGCTCTTCCGCCTGCTGCAGGGCCTGGTGAGCAAGGGCAGCTGGACATCCGGCTACGTCTTGAGTAAGCACCCCCTGCGCTCAGTTCCCACGGGGGCGGTGGGCAGCACAAGGGGAGGGAGCCAGACGCAGAGGTGGGATTCTGGGGGGAGAGGGGGTGTTCGTGGGCTCCAGAGAAATGGTGGTAACTCTAGCTGTGTGTGATTGTCTGTCTGACTGGGCCAGGGGACTAGGTGGGGATGGCCTCCCTCCTCCTCCCCCTCCCTCCTTCCCCTCCCCCTCCTTCTTCCTTCCTTCCTTCCTTCCTTCCTTCCTTCCTTCCTTCCTTCCTTCCTTCCCTCCTTCCTTCCTTCCTTCCTTCCTTCCTCCTCCCCTCCCCCTTCTCCCTTCCTTTCTTCCTTCCTTCTCTCCCTCCCCCTCCCTCTCTTTCCCCTCCCTCTTCCTCCCTCCCTACTTCTTATCCCTCCCTTCCTCCCTCCCCTCCTTCCTTCCTTCCTTCCTTCCTTCCTTCCTTCCTTCCTTCCTTCCTTCCCTCCTTTTTTGTTTGAGAGACACTTAAATAACCACTTAAATATATCAGTCTTTCTATATCAACTGATCTATTTAGGAACAACATGACCACATTCTGATTTATTTACAGCAGTGTGCTGGGGGGGCGGTGGTATACAGGAAGGGGAGTCAGGTAAGAGAGCATCTTAACATCTTAAATACGAAAGGACCGGCATCTCCTGAAAAGAAATACAACAGCCCAACTGGTCTAAACCACTTAAAAATTAGGAGGAGACTGTAAGAGGGAGTAAGAGAAGAGACAAACATCTTTTTCTAAAAAAAAAAAAAAAATGAGGTGTGAACCACTGTAATTCTATATACTGTTTTTTTCCCCCTTTCAAATTTTTCCATGAGGGGTGAGACTAAAAAAGGAAAATCACTCTCTTGGAAGAAAGTCGTGTACAAGAGCCACCGGTGCTTTCTGCAGCCCATACGTGGGTGCATTGGACGGCAGTGAGGATAATCCACATTTTTGCTCATTTGTAGAGAATAGAAAAGAAACAACTTTGTCCTTCCATCTCTGAAAATGGTATCTTTGGTCTTGGCATTCTGAGAGGTAGTTCATCAGGACCAAGAGAAAGCATGTTTCTCCCTTGCGAAACTGTATGCTCTGGCTAAGTGTAGTCAGTTCAGTACATATTCACTGGCCATCTGTATGTTGAATACGCACTATTTGACACGTGGTTAAGACGATAAATTTGGGGTCAAATATCTACTCCCCAGCACTGCCCGGCCATGAACTCTTGGGCCATTCCCATAAGCCCTGGCTCAGAGGGGCTTATGGGGACCCTCAGAGGGGGGTGGCAGGGCCCTGATGGGCAGGTGCACTGCAGAGCTGTGGCCCGAGCGATGCCTGCCCCGCGATGGGCCCTGTGGGGTTGCTGTCACTCTGTGGCAGGCAGTGGGGCAGGGCTGGAGGTACCAAGATAGAGGAGGCACCCTTCCTCCCTTTGAGAAGCTCAAATGCTAGGGAGAGGAAGACAGATGGCCATCTATCTTGGTGGGTGAGGGCCGTGCCGCCCCCAAAGGCTTTCCCCATGTGTTTGCAGGTCACACACCACCTGGTCCTCCACTGGTGACTCAGTGGTCATCCTCCCTTAGGGGCTTCTCTTCTCCCCAATCCTGTAATGTGGCAGGACCCAGGACTTTGTCCTCTCCCTCCCCAAACCTGCTCCACCTGCAGACCCCTACCCTAGCCCCTGTCTGTAAAGTCCCCTCTGCCCAGCTGCTCAGGCCAGGTGTCTTGCAGTCAGCACAGCCCCCAGTTCCCTACACCTGCTTCCGGCCCCTCGGGGGTCCTGCTGCTGGCTTTCCTTCCACAATACCCCTGGGACCACCTTCTCTTCACTGCCGCTGCTGGGCCCAAGCCAACCCCGTCGCTTCACCTCTGTCACTGGTCCCCAATCTTAACTCAGCAGCAGACATGGAGTGTGCTGCCCCCTGGGGCACTGGCTCTGCACCTCCTGCAGCACAGGCCAGACTCCATAGGGGCCCCAGGATGGCCTCCCCGAGGCACTGCCTCCCCCTTGCATGACCCTCTGGAGAGCCACGTCCTCTGTTCCCTCTGCCTGGAACTTCACCCTTGACGTTCGCCCCACCGCACTGCTGTCCGAAACCCAGCGACCCCTTCCCCCTCGACTCTCCGGCTTCCCTCCCACCCGTTAGCTTTCCATTCCCCCTGGCACAGAGTGCATTCCAGCCTGGCATGCGATTTACTCATTTACCGTGTGTGCTCTCTGTCCCCTCTCACAAGGAGGTGGGGTCATGAGGACACGACTCTGCCCAGGAAGTTGATGACATGCTCCAAATGCCTGGAGTGGTGCCAGGTCCCTGGGAGGCCAGCGATGCTTATTAAATTAGTACACGCTCCCAGGGCTGTGAGAAACAGCACAGCTCTAGGGGCGCCGGGGTGGCTCAGTGAGCATCTGCCTTTGGCTCAGGGCGTGATCCCGGGGTTCTGGGATCAAGTCCCACATCGGGCTCCCTGCAGGGAGCCTTCTTCTCCCTCTGCCTGTGTCTCTGCCTCTGTGTCTCTCATGAATAAATACATAAAATCTTAAAAAAAAGAAAAAAAAGAAAAGAAATAGCACAACTCAGTCTGGAGCTTATAGGGGCAAAGCTCTGGGGAGGAGGGGTTGGCCAGTGCTCAGGTAGACTGAATCCTGTAGCACCCAAAGGACACTAGAGACAGCAAGTGGGGGCGGATTAGAAAAGGAAGAGCTGGAGAGAAGCTGGGATGAGCAGCCGGGTGGATCTCAGGGAGCCTTGAGTGGAGCAGCAGCAGCACAGGAGAAGGAGCCTGGGGTCAGGCAGGAGGGGGTTGGGGCCTGGGGCTTGCCAGGAGGGAAGGAGACCACGGGAGCCTCAACAGCGACTCCTCTCCTGTTCAGTCACAGAGTTCGTGGGCATGGGCTACAGACGAATGGTGGCGATCCTCTACCAGATGGCCTTCACCGTGGGGCTCGTGGTGCTCTCGGGGGTGGCCTATGCCATCCCTCACTGGCGGTGGCTCCAGCTGGCCATCTCTCTGCCCACCTTCCTCTTCCTGCTCTACTACTGGTACGTGGGTCCTCCAAGGGGGCCCCTGCTCCTCTGTCCCCCCACCCCCGGACCACGCTCAGCTCACCCCCTAGGACTGCCTGGTGATCTTGGCTGCCACATGGGCCATCCCCCGAAGGGCCACGGTGGCCACACACACAGGCACATGGCTGCTTCCACCATTTGTGCCATTTGAGATGTTCTCATATTACGGGGTGGCCCTCATTACATGGGCAGCTACTCTTTTTAAATTTGTATCCCCTTAGATGGGGGGCAATGATCTGAGTCAGATAAAAATCCACCTAGCCACGGAGTAGACATTTGGTGTTTGTTGAATGAATGAATGAGTGAATGAACAAGCGAATGAAAATTCTCGGGGAATGTGCACATTAAGCCACTGAGACAAACCAGTCCCAGTGAGCTGTTAATCTTACTGGCTGTCAGCACTTGGCAGGGTCCCAAGGGACGCGCAGCCAGAAAGATGAGTTTTGAGCTTTGATTATGGGACAGGGAAGGGGTGCAGAGAGGGCCGGGAAGAGAAATATCGCATCCCTGCAACTTTTGTCACCATTCTGCTGAGGACAAATCTCACCTGTGGGTAGCACTGAAGTAGACCCAATCTCTCCAAACCTGGGCTTGCCTCTACGAGGGCTACGTTGGTGGTCAGGGTGAGTCTGCTGTCCCCTCATCAGGCTGAAACCCCGGCTCTCAGGTGGGAAGGACACGCTGGCTGAGTCTCGCTGGTCGGGCAGGGGGGCCTTTGCCTGAGTGTTTTCAGAAGACCTTACACCAGACGTTCCTGATCTTCAAGTCGTAATGTCCTTACCCGGTTTGCAATGGACAGCACGCTACCTCCCTGGTGTTCAAAGACAGTGAATATGGTGTATTTGGTTTGGGAGATATTTTGAGGCTTGTTCAACAGCCCATGTATTACATGGGGACACCCCGCTGTAGCACAAGGGTTGGGGGAGGCATCTGGAGCATCTATTCTGTGCGAGAAGTTTCCAGGGGGACAAGGCTGCCAGCTGCCAGGAGAGAGTGGGACCCCTCCTCCGTGAAATGAAGCCCACGTAGGAAAGTAGTGGTCCTCTTGTTTGCTCACAGATCTTAGCAGGTGGCACTGACAGTATGAGGGACCCACAGAGCTCCTTCGTGGGTCCCTTGGGCCAGCGCAGAACGACCCCAGATCCTCGTCCACTAGCTGCTTGAGGAATTCCAGTCCCCATGTGAGGAGGGGGGCTGCTCAGAGCGCTAGCATCTCCCTGATCTGGGCTTTAGGCCCGCCGTGCTCTGGGGAAGCCACCCCGTGGTGAGGCTCTGCGTCTGCAGGTGCGTGCCCGAGTCTCCCCGATGGCTGCTATCACAGAAGAGGAACGCTCAGGTGATGAAGATAATGGGCCACATCGCCCAAAAGAACGGGAAATCGCCTCTCGCTGATCTAAAGGTGACAAACCAGCGGGGGTGTTCTCATGCCACTGAACTTTGGGTTGGGTTTGTGATTTTAGAAACTGCTTCTGGGGCTGCCTTGAGGAGTGGGGAGGTCCTGGAGGAATTTGGGGGTGATGGGTGCTGAGATCAGGAACGGGTGGGGTGGTTCGGAGGGCTGCTCCTGCTCCCCCACAGCGGCGCCGCAGCTGATGCTCTGCCTCCCTCCTAGATGCTCTCTCTCAAAGAGGATGTCACGGAAAAGCTGAGCCCTTCCTTTGTAGACCTGTTCCGCACGCCACAACTGAGGAAGCACACCTTTATTCTGATGTACCTGTGGTAAGTGGCCTTTCCTATACCTTCCCCCGATGGACTCAGTGTGCCGGCTGAGCACCAGGGCATGAGTTGAAGACAGTGGAGCAATGCAGGTGGAAAAAGAGAAGCATGAAAAGGAATTTTTACATGAATTTCAAGCAGCCGATGAGCTCTTAGACATCTTTATGTCTCCCTTGAGGATGGAATAAGGGGGGAAAGATATCAAGAAGAGCGTGTTGCGTGTGAGATGTCAGCAGTAAGATGAGTGAAACCTGATGAAGGGATCCCAAGGTTGTCTCAGATCCCACGTATCTGTCTTTTGGGAACAGCACATCTTGACTTAGTGGAGGAAGGTGGATGAGATGTCAGTGGCTCCTGGCCCTTCCAAAGAGAAGGTCCCTACGTCACATCTTGGCACTTTAGAGACCCTGTCAGAGAGGGGCTGTGCCTTTATTGTCCACTGATTATGAGACTCATCTACACATATGGACTCACCCAGTCTGCTCCTTTCTGCAGGCTGCTCCCTTGCTCCCTATCCTGTGCTCTCAGAGGACACCCGTCCAGCTTCCCATCATCATGGCTTTGTCCTTGGCATGAAGATGGCTCCTCAGTCACTCCCCCGGTGGCTGGACTGTGGGGTCCCCCCTCAGCTGGAGCCACTCTGCTGCTGGTACACTCATTTCCACTTCCACGAAGGTTTTACTAGAACCAAGGGTTCAAGCTAATAGAGTGGTGCCTGGCACATGGTAGCCCTGCAAATATTTGCTGAAGGTTGAATGAATAACCACGGTTCCACGGAATCCATCCTGAGTGCAGGAGACACCAGCCAGGCTCACCATGCCTTCCCTTTGCCCCAGCAGTCACCTGCCCTGGCCCCAGAGTCCTGCCACCAGCTACATGATGGGCCCCCCGGAATCTCTGCAAACACCCCAGCTGCCTGGTGCACTTGTGTTGCATCCCCTCCCCTCCTCCTATTTCCTCTCGATGCCCCCACTTCCATCCTCTAGGGCACTCCTCTCGTGAGGTGCTTCAGCTCCTCCGCTCTCACACCCCTGCACCCGCTCCCTCCGCAAACTCTGCTCTGATCTGAGAATGTGTTAGGAAGCTGCCCTTGGCATCCCCTGCCCCCTTGGTTCCCAGAGTCAGTGTCGTGCTCTTTTGCCTGTGTGGCTGGGGGGCCTCCTAGCTGGCCTCTCTCTTAATGCTGCTGCCCTGCACCCCAGGAGCTACTCATAGAGCAAACAGCACCACACTCCTCCGTCTACACCCTCCCTGGCTTCCTACTCCCCCGAGGAGAACACCGAATCCCTTTCCATGGCCCACAAGGAGCTGACCCCAGACACCCCTCTTACTGGCCTTCCCTCCACCTCCTCCTTCCTTGCAGCTGCTCGAGAGGCCAACCCAGCTCTTCCCGGCCAAGCAGCTTCCAGAAAGCTCCACATTCTATGACTCAGCATCCTCATCAGCAAGTGGGGGTAATGATAGGACCCACCTCACACGCGTGTTGGCAGACGTGACATAACGCGTGGAAGGAAATGGCTTAGAGCGCGCGTGCTTAACACCAGGGCTGCTGTTTTACCACGTACAACATGCGATTCATGGGTTCTGCCAACAGATGGCAGCCCTGCACGGGCGTTAAGGGCAAAATCCAGGTTGTGCGCTCCTTTCTCTTCAATCCATCCCTTTTATCAGTTATACGGGACTGTTCGAATTTAACTGGGGCCAAGGGAGGGGCCTGGTGAGCGTCTGGGAAATCAGGGATGATTCAGGACTAGACACAAGAGCATCCCAGTGTCTCCCTGTGTGCAGCTTGATAAAACGAGGGAGTATATTAATGAGAAATATCCGTTGTGATCTCAGTTTGGGAGCTGATAGGCAATTTACTTGCTGGAATAAGCGATTTCTTAGCAACCAAAGTCTCTTCTTGCAGTGTAAATACCAACATAATCATAACATGTTTCTAGCCTCTAAAATCCTATAATGTCACTAAAAAAAAAGCCCTGTGAGACTCTAAATTCGCCCTGAGTGACTTAGTCGGCCCCCATGGCTCTCTGTGCCATATTCTTTTTTTTTTTTTTAAGATTTTTATTTATTTATTCATGGGAGACACACACACAGAGAGAGAGAGAGAGAGAGAGAGAGAGAGAGAGAGAGAGAGGCAGAGACACAGGCAGAGGGAGAAGCAGGCTCCATGCGGGGAGCCCGACGTGGGACTCGATCCTGGATCTCCAGGATCGCGCCCTGGGCCAAAGGCAGTGCTAAGCTGCTGAACCACCCAGGGGTCCCCTCTGTGCCATATTCTGAACACTGCTCCTCGCCCCTGGAATACGGACAGAGGGGTCACGCGGTGGGTTCCGGGGGGAGGGGAGCAGCTGTTAAACACGGCACTGCTGTGCGGAGGGAAAGACTCTGGACGGCACCTGCTCTGCTCTGCTCTGGGTACGTGACCTTGGGAAGATGACGATGATGATGCCATTAGTGGCCGTCTTTACGAGTGCTTTCCACGTGCCGGGAGCCACAATAGGCACTTAGTGTGGGCCAGGCAAGGGGTGCAGAGGGCGATGCGGCGAGGACCATCTCAGCCACGCACCTGTCACACCTTTCGTCACCAGTCCGCGGAGGGCAGATCTCGTCTGTAGGTGGCACTGAGATAGACACAGTCTGTCTGAATGACGGCTGGCCTCTAAGCCTTACACGTTTGTGGTCAGGACAGGCCCGCTGTCCCCTTGTCAGGGTGGCCCAAGGCGCTCTCTGGGAGGAGGACGCTCTGGCTGAGTCTCCATGCCTGGGTGGATGCGAGGGGGTCTGAGTGTTCTCCGAAGACCGAATTCCCTTTATTGATGTGGGAACTGAGGCATCGAGGGCTCAGTTAAGTTCGTTGGGGTCACACAGCTCACACGGCAGCCTGATTGCTGAACCTGCTCCGTCACCAGCGCCTTCTGCCCATGTCCCCTTGTGGCCGCTGGGCCATTAGGGTCATCGTTTGGGACATTTCTAGGACACGTGGTTGTATCCTGGAAGTCATTATGTCACATACACCTTGAGAGGAGCTCCTCATTGAGGCCCCCCAGGACACCCTTCCTGATTTTGTACCCTCTCTTCCCATGTCGCTCCAGGACATTTTATTTTATTTTATTTTTAAAGATTTTATTTATTTATTCATGAGAATACACAGAGAGGAGAGAGAGAGAGAGAGAGAGAGAGAGACAGAGACAGAGACACAGGCAGAGGGAGAAGCAGGCTCCATGCAGGGAGCCTGAGGCAGGACTCGATCCCTGGTCTCCAGGATCACACTCTGGGCTGAAGGCGGCGCTAAACCGCTGAGCCACCCGGGCCGCCAGCTCCAGGACATTTTAAATCGAGTGACACACATTGCTCTCCAGCTCTTGGGGACCTTTGTCTTCGCTGTCAGAATCCAAACTCTCTTCCATCCCGCAGATAGGAGACTCCACCCGAGACTGTGCTTCTCCCCTGTGCTCAGGTTCACGAGCTCCGTGCTCTACCAGGGTCTCATCATGCACGTGGGCGCCACTGGTGGGAACCTCTACCTGGATTTCCTTTACTCGGCTCTGGTTGAATTTCCCGCGGCCTTCATCATCCTGGCCACCATCGACCGCTTCGGCCTCATCCGCCCGTTGGCCACGTCCAATCTGGTGGCGGGGACAGCCTGTTTCATCATGATTTTTATCTCACACGGTGAGTCATGCCTTTCCCCCTCATCTTCTCCGTAATCGAATTATCGAACTGAGGGAACACTGTTTCAATTCCTTGATACTCCCCTCGAACTAGAACAAAGACAAAGACGGGAGGTTACGTTAGTCTCCAACTGGGTTTTTACAATTTTTAAAATTTTTAAATTGGGGTATAACATACACACCACGAGCGGATGACAAGTATACAAGGTGATGAAATTTTGTGTGTGTGTATCTGTGTACATCTGGGTAACATGACCTAGATACATGGAAGATTTCCAACACCCCGGAAGGCTCTCCCATGTTCCCTGACAATCTATACTCACCCTCCCTGCTCACGTCACCACGGCTCTGACGTCTGTCACTGAAAAGCAATGTTGACAGCTCTTGAATTTCATACAAAAGGAACCATAGCACATATATTTGTCTGGCTTCATTCACTCATTCCATCTGTGAGATTGGTCCCTGCGGCCACACCGGAGTGTAGTTAATTCCCGTTCATTGTTGGGCAGCATTCCACTGTATGAACCTCATGCTACTTACCTGTCCCACTGTTGATTGACACTTGCGTGGCTTTCAGCGTCTGCCTACTGGGATCTAAGCCGAGTGAACATTCTGGTACATGTCTTTTCGTGGGCATAGACTCTCATTTCCCTTGGGTACAAATCTGTGAGTGCATTTGCTAGGTCAGGGGTGGCATATATGTAGCTCTAAGTCCATACAAACAGGTTTCCAAAATGGTTGGACCAATGCACACTCCAACCGACGAAGCCTGAGCGCCCCAATTGTTCCGCGTCCTCGCCAGCACTGGGTTTTGCTAGTCTTTTTGACCCCAGCCATTTTGGTGAGTGCTGTGCTTTAGTCCATCCTTCTTACCACCCAAGATAATCCGAAGTAGAATAACTTGAGTCAGTTTTCATCTGAGTACACAAATTGCCTTTCATATTTGTTATTTTGGGGAAGACTGTTGAATAAACACTAAGGCAGATTTGCTATTTTCTCAATGTTTTATTGCTCGTGCTCTGCCCTTTTTGGGTTGAGTTGTTTTGGTTAGCTTTTCTGGAGGGTATCGTGGGATGAGTTCCCTGAAATCTGTATTCTCAAGAACCAAGCTGTATATATCAAATTGCAAATAGAAAGATGAGGAATGCTCAGTTTTCTTCTCCCTCCTTGCGTGGGGAGAGAACAAAGAGACAGGGAAGGGAGCAGAGTCCATCTGAAATAGGTTTTACCATTATCTTCCCTATCTTCTTATTTCTAGAATCCTGGAAAGATGAATGAGAAGAATTTTTTTTTAAGTAATAGCACTGGGTGCAGAGAAGGAGTCCAAGGTCTGAGACTGTTCAATTGTCACCAGGGCAGAGCCTGGACACCATGCTCTCTGGTCCCATGCCCCCCAGGGCCCTCCTCCCATCCCCTACCCTTTCCACTTACGTTGACTTAGTCCTTGTCACCTTAGATGATAAACACTCCCTCCTCCAGGAAATATTTCAAGTGCCTTCTGTGCAGCCAGCACGCACCTAGGCCCTGGATCTCAGCAATGAGCAAGGTGGAGAAAGTTCTTGCTTCACAGAGTTTTACAGTCTAGAGGGAAAAAGAGAAGGGGAAGCTTGGTGGGCGTTAATCCTTTGTGTGGTGGTCGGGGCGGCATTAGGAGACCTGATTGAGGGGAACAAGCAGTGTCACCATCTGGAGAATGTGCTTCCCACACAGGGGGACAGAAGGGGGAAGATCCCCGAGAAGGGTAGAGTTGAGCATTCTAGGAGCGGCTGGGATCCCTGTGCCTGAAATCAGGAGAGCAGGGGCAGGAGTGGTGGCACAGAGGTTGGGGATAGCAGGAGGCGGCCTTGGGCTGCTTCCCCCGTGTGGGAGGGAAGCACTGGAGGCTTTGGGCAGGGATGTGCCCCACGGTCTGTGTGGCTGCTGAAGGGAGTGGGGCCCGAGGTGCTAAGGGAGCCAGGGCAATGGAGCAGCTTGCCAGCTTACAGACCCCGGGGTTTGTATGCAAGGCCCTCTCTGGAGAGTCTGTCTGGGTGAACTTCCTCATCTCCTTGCTATTGGAAGCTGGGGGTGTACTTGATTAAGTACACCCTTGATTGGCCATCCTTGATCAGAGGCTGGGAGACTGGGTTGGACCTGGCGGTAAGATTATTCCCGAGGCCATCGCATCCTCTCTCCTGGGAGCCTCGCACTGGTGGAATAAAATGAAGCATGTCTTCCATGAGCAGCCAGTAGGGGACAGGGGTCAAGACAACATAATTTCTGCGACCCCACAGGCTTTATTAGTCACTTGGCATGTCACAAGAGCCACTTGCTTGTTGGTGTTTGTGGTAATCCAGGTAGAGCAGATGACGATGCCCAATTCTTCGATTGGTTCTCAGTAGGGGGATGGCTTCCTGGAGCCCCGTGCAAGCAGGAGCCCTGTAGCCTTCTACTCAGATGAGACAAGGGTTTGCTTCCCTTGTACTCACGTCTGAGACTGTCTGGAAAGGTGTTCTGTTTAAAAAAAAAAAGTATATATTTGGAAATGAAGGCTAGATTGAGGATTAGAAATCTGGTCTGTCAGCTCCAGGGATGCTGCCTAAGTGGCTGCATTTATTGTGGACCTACTATGTCAGGGTCTAGCAGCGATGTGATTGCAGAGAAATTAAAAAGCCAACGTTTCTGGAGTGGTCGTGGTGAACATGTGAACATGTGACATAAATCATCTCAAAATCTCATAACAGCTTACAGGTTGGCTATAATTGTTCTCATTTTATAGCTGAAGAAACCAAAGCCCAAGGAGGTTAAGTTGCATGGCTGACAGGAGGCAAAGCTGAGATCCTAAATGCTTGTTTTTTCCTCTGCACAAGGGAGCCTCCCTCCTGTGTCACCATCAGGTTCTGGAACCTCTCAGCCCTCAGTTACTTATTCCAGAATGAGAGGGTTAGACAAGGCAGTGTTTCTGGCTCTTCCAGCTCTAAAGTCCAAGCTTCCTAGCGTGGCTCCTCAAGGGAGGGAACTCCATGGGCACAGTCCCCACATGAGTCCCTCACCTCTGCGTGTCTCCTATCCAGATCTACACTGGCTAAACATCACAGTGGCTTGTGTTGGCCGAATGGGAATCACCATCGTGTTCCAAATGGTGTGCCTGGTAAATGCCGAGCTGTATCCCACGTTTGTCAGGTGGGTGCACAAAGTGGGGGGAGAGAGGGGAAGGAGGTTGGGTCACCACTGACACAGCTGGCCATCAGCCAGGCTCAGCAAGGACCAGCATTTCAAGACAGTTCCTCAAGGCTCCTGAAAAGTTTGGTCCATTTGGACACTGAGGTGGGCTGTGGGCCTCAAAGAGAAGGTCAGCGCCTAATTATGGAAGAGAAAGTGAAACGGGAAGATAGAGTAGAGCGTGCAGTGGGCAAGCAGAAGAAGACAGGCACCTGCATGGAGAGAGCCCTGGGCAGCAGTGCGAGACTGAGTTCAGCCCAGCCCTCGGCTCTGACTGCTTGCATAAATCCAGCAGCTGCACTGACATCTGTAGACATAACTTGATTAAACAGAGTTTTGCTTGGTACAATGACCACACAAAGCATTTCTAGAATCTTTCATTTTGCCCTAATATTGTTGTTATTTCCATTTTACAGATGAGGAAGCTGAGTTTCAGAGAGGGAGAGAGAATTTGCAAGAGGCATACAGCCAGAAAATGGCAGGGCGTCTTTCTGACCTCAAAGCTGGGCTTTTCCCGGGATGATACAATACATTTCAATATATTTAGCTGCAGGCCTAGAAGACTTATTATTTTTATTTTTAAAGATTTTTTATGTATTTTAGAGAGAGAGAGAGAGAGAGAGCATGAATAGGAGGTGGTGCAGAGGGAGAGGGAGTGACTCTCAAGCAGATTCCCCCCTGAGCACAGAGCCTTGCTTGGGGCTCAATCTCGGGACCCTGAGATCATGACCTGAGCTGAAATCAAGAGTCAGATGCCCAATGACTGAGTCACCCAGGCGCCCCAGGCCTAGAAGACTTATTGTTTAAAGTCAGAGTTAGACCAAAATTCACTGTAACATGCAGTTTGTTGAGTTTTAATTACATGCGTGTTCATTTACCAGCTACCACAATCAATATGGAGACATTTCCATCACTTTCAAATGGTTCCTCATGTCCCTTTGCAATCAGTCTCCCCTTTCCCCACCTCCAGCACCTGGTACCCACTGCTCTGATTTCTCTCCCTCTGGTTTTACCTTTTCCAGAATGTTGTTATGTAAATGAAGCAACATGGCACGTGGCCTTTTGAGTTTACCTCCTTTCACTTGGCACAATGGGGGCCATCCAAGTGGTTGCAGACTTCCAAGCTCTGTTCCTTCTGAGTGCTGAATGGTATTCTAATATGTGAATGATGTACCACGATTTACTTATCCGTTTGCCAGTGTGTTGGCATTGACTGTTTCTAGTTTGCAGTGATTACAATATAGCCACTCATAAACACTCAGGTATGAATCTTCAAGTGGATATATGTCTTCAGACCTCTTGGGCAAAAACCTACGAGTGGCTCATATGAGGTGAGCTTAAATTTATAAGAAAATCTCAGAATGTTTTCCAAAATGGCTGTACCGTTTCTTATTCCACCAGCCATATGTGAGAGATCCAGTTGCTCTACATCCTCATCAGCACTCGGTATTGTCAGTTTTTTATTTTTCCAGGTCATTCTGGGAGGTAGTTGTATCATTGTGACTTTAATTTGCATTTGACTAATTACTAACAATGTTGAACATCTTTGTAAGTACTTATTGCCATCTGTATTTTAGGAAACTTTTATTTATTTATTTATTTATTCATAAAAGATTTTATTTATTTATTCATGAGAGACACGGAGAGAGACAGAGACATAGGCAGAGGGAGAAGCAAGCTCCCTGAGGGGAGCCTGATGCAAGACTCGATCCCAGGACTCGACCATCATGACCTGAGCCAAAAGCAGACGCTCAACCACTGAGCCACCCAAATGCCCAGATACTTAGTTTTAAATGAAGATTATTTTTATTGTAAAAGTGATTAACCGCTTTATTTAAAGTTTTAGTTCTGACTTTCATTAGAATTTGGTATTTTCCCTTAAACTAATTTTTCTGTCTGTATGGTTTCCTGTTCCCCAAGCCATCATGCTAGTGGTTTCTAAGAAATATTCCAGTTCCCCAAACTCTTACCTGCACGGTAATCTGAGCCCCTCAGATAGCCAGATTATGCAAAGGTGTCTCTGATTGACTCTCCTCTTCCGCACCTGTCCTCCATTACAAGACATCTGTAAAAGTTTACTTAGACTGTGTACAAAGAGATGAAGGCAAATTAAAGAGAAAATTCTTCAACGTTGGGCATCCTGAGCCCAGAGTCTAAAATAGCTCAGCCAAACGATCCCATTGTCATGGCCACTGGACCCAAGGGACTGAGTGAAAGTATAAATTGTCAAAGGTGCTGGGTGCTTGCTCCTATGTGAAGAAGGCCAAGCGATCCAAAGCAGAGATAAAAATTCTTGGGAGACTATGGGACAAGATGCTAGAAATGGAAACCTATCTGAAAGTCATGTGCAAAGGAGAACTGATTTAGTGAGGGAAAGGCAAGGCTGGGCTATGAATTGCAAATTAAAATTGAAATAAGCAAAGTTTTAAAGTCTTGGAAATCACACACAGACACACACACACACACACACACACACACAAACACACACACATGCTTGCATGCACATGTCCCAAAGAAGATACCTGAAATAATGAAACAAAAAAACTTCAGGAAAGAAAAAAAACCTTCAAAGAAACTTCTGGAAATAAAAGAATGTTTGAATCTATGATTTGAAGTGGCACTTGGTGTAACAGGAAAAATGAACTCAGAAGGAACAATGATAAAGAATAGTCTAGTTAAGTTACTGAGCTGAAAGTTTAAGTCACAGATTTATAGGGAGAACATCAAATTGATTATAATATTGAAAATCACTGAATGTGGGATTAAAGTGAATGTGATTTTGATGACAGAACAGCAATAAATGTCATGAATCTGCTAATAAAGAAATGCTAGAAGATGGAGGGGAAGGGGAGGGAGAGGGGATGTTGGATGTGATGTAATGCACTGGTTTCCTTAGTATAGTTTCTCCAGCTTGGATGAAAATGTATTATTAAAAGCTGATGTGGCGTGCCTAGGTGGCCCAGTTGGTTGAGCCCCTGACTCTTGATTTCTGCTCAGGTCATGATCTCAGGGTCATGAGATCGAGCTCTGCATCCCGCTCTGTGCTCAGCAGAAGTCTGAGATTCTCTTTCTCCCTCTCCCTCTGCTCCTTCCCCTGCCCACCTGTGTGCCCTCTCTCTCTCTCAAATAAATAAAATCTTTTTTAAAAATGCTGATGCGGGGGGTGGGGGGATCCCTGGTGGTGCAGCGGTTTGGCGCCTGCCTTTGGCCCAGGGCGCGATCCTGGAGACCCGGGATCGAATCCCATGTCGGGCTCCCGGTGCATGGAGCCTGCTTCTCCCTCTGCCTGTGTCTCTGCCTCTTTCTCTCTCTCTCTGTGTGACTATCATAAATAAATAAAAATTAAATAAAAAAAAATAAAAATGCTGATAGGGAGAGCCATCCCTGGGTGGCTCAGTGGTTTAGTGCTGCCTTTGGCCCAGGGCATGATCCTGGAGACCCGGGATCGAGTCCCACGACGGGCTCCCTGCATGGAGCCAGCTTCTCCCTCTGCCTGTGTCTCTGCCTCTCTCTCTCTGTGTCTCTCATGAATAAATAAATAAAATATTTTTTTAAACAGCTGATAGATTATATAGTGTTTTAGGTGCATTTTAAGATGAATAAGCAAAAAAAAGATGAATAAGCAAACACTAAAACAGTGATACAATTTTATTAAAATCAGTGCACAAAGGGATAAAGGAAGTTGAACTATATACATTTTATAATTGTTTGTAATAGGAAGTTAATGAATACTGTCTAAAGAAATAGAGTATAAAATGTATTATATAAAGCTATAAAAGTAACATTTGAATAAAAATACAAACCCTCCAGGGCCCCTGGCCGGCTCAGTCAGAAGGCCATAGGTCTTTTGATCTTGGGATTGTGAGTTCAAACCCCACATTGGGTTTAGATTATTGGGAAAAAAAAAGTCAAAAAAAATATAAACCTTCCAGATTATCAGAAAAAAAAATACACATATTGAAAATAAAACACTAGAAACAACAAATGCATGACATCAAAGCTAATGACAGAATTAAGAGCAAGCATTTCTGACCTTTAAATAAACACAAAGAGGCCCAACTCCTCTATTGACAAAAGGAGACTCCTTTAGTTGGTTACAAAGCAAAACTGAACAATTTGTTGCATAGCTGATGCACAACTTTTCCTTGGAAAGGTCGAAAAGAAAAGAATGCATGAAAGCATATCAGTAAATGCAAACAAAAATATAGCAAGAGCCACAATCTTATCAGACAAAGTTGAATTTATGCTAAAAATGTATTTAATAAGATAAGGAAGTCCCTAAACAATGATAAAGAGGAAATCCACAAGGTCTCATGGGGAGATTTTACAAAACACTTAATTACTAGAAAGCTCCAATGATACTTAAACTGTTCTAGACACAGAAAAAGGAGAAAGATTAAAAAAACATTTTAATAAAGCTGGCATAATATTGGTATCAAAGACCAACAAAGATAAAGAAAATAAGGAAACTACAGGCAAATATTATTTGTGAATATTGATTAAAATCCCAAACAATATATTATCAAACAGAATAGTGGAGACGTTAAAATGATATCATATCTAAGATGAGTTACTCAGGAACACAAAGATAGTCCAATATTAGAAAATCTAACACTATAATTCATGCTAATAAATTGAAAGTCTTTTTATAGAGCTAATAAATTAAAAGCTAATAAATTAAAACTGTACTATTATCTCTACAGATAGTAAAGAACATTTAATAAAATTCAACATCTGCTCTTATTATTACAATCTTTCCATAAAACAGGGATAGATAATTTTGCATATAATTTCCTCAGTATGCTTTTTCCAGCTAAGAAGAAACATATCATTAAAAGCTGATAAAGTAAGTTATATTTAAAGACATAATGGTAAACATTTAGAGGTGATATAACCAACTAAGATAAGGTAGTTGGGGGGAAGGATTGCGAAATAAATGGAATGTACTACTCTTACAATTACAACTGTAGGTAGTAAGAGATATGCAAATAAGCATAATAGAAGAAACTTAAAAGTAATATCCTAAAGAATAAAGCTTTTCTCAGTGTATTGTTCATATTTAACCATGCTTTTAAAACATAGCTCAATATTATTTATAGGAATGCAGAAATATCCAGCACTGAGCAAGATAATACTTATCAATAGTTACAAGAAATATGAATTTTCTAAACATCCCAGTTAAAAGGCAAAGATTGTTGGATAGGACAAAAGGTTTTCCCAACTGTGTACTATCTACAAGAAACTCACTCTAAATATAATGATAAAGCTTGTTTAAGAGGAAAAGAATAGGAAAAGATGCTATAAACAGAGGTGTAGAAGCTTAAAAGGATGGAAAAAGATATTCCATGCAAACACTAATTAAAAGTGGCCATATTCATGGGACGCCTGGGTGGATTAGTGGTTGAGCATCTGCCTCTGACTCAGGGTGTGATCCTGGAATCCTGGGATCGAGTCCAACATCGGGCTCCTGCATGAAGACTACTTCTCCCTCTGCCTGCGTCTCTGCCTCTCTCACTCTCTCTCTGTCTCTCATAAATAAATAAATATATATATTTTTAAAAAGTGGCCGTATTCATATAAGACAGAATAGATGTCAGCACAAAGACAATTACCAGGCATGGAGAGGATCCTTTTCAGGTAGATCATTTCTCTGTTTCCCCCTCTAGTTTTCTTTGTTCTTCATTCCTTAATATTTTCTCTCTACCCTTCCCTATCACTTCATGTAAACAAACAAACAAACAACTCACACTAACCAATTCCCCAACTTTTCAGAAACCACCTAGGCATCCTCTTCAATTCTGATGTTAACCACCTGGAGTGAGCATAGACCCCACAGGTTAAGGGCTCAGTTCCACAAAACACTGCCCCCACCTCAGATGCCAGGCACAAGCCTCAGGCTGTCACCTGTACTTCTGACCCACTGGCTATAAATCAGGATTCCCATTACCACCTCCTTAAATTCAATAATAATAATTTGGTATCATGTTTCATTGAATCACAGAGATATCTTTTCTGTTCTCTGTATTTTATCAGGAACCTTGGAGTGATGGTGTGTTCTTCCCTATGTGATTTGGGTGGGATCATCACCCCCTTCCTGGTCTTCAGGCTGATGGGGGTTTGGCAAGGCTTGCCGCTCACTTTGTTTGGTAAGACTTCCTGGGATATTTATTATTCTTTCTTTCCAGCCCATCATGATTGCTTAATAATGACTTGATCAGTGAATAATATCTTCCGGTGAGTTTACAGAAGACAAGGATGGTGAAGGATGGTGCCTCCCCTCCTGATATCTCCTGGCTCACTCTGTCTTGCTTCATGGGAAAGAGAAGATGCCATTCCTGGAAGGCAGGCCAGAGGTTTATATCTGATGGCTCTAGAGTCCAGTAATTCATCCTACAGGACCGAATTTGGGAGACATTTTGACACAGCCTGCTGCTTTCTTGTGAACTTGACTCCCAATATTTGTGTATTTGACATGTAATTGCTGGAGGCCTGAAGATGCTAAATTATTACCCTTCTTCTTTCTGCTTAACAATTGAGAACAGACACAAGGAGACAAATGGGAATCAAAGTTTGGTATCTGCTTTGTTAGTGATTAAGTTGGATTAGAGACAGAGGAGGAAACTCTTCTTTCTCTCCCCAAACCAAGACCTCAGGACCTCCAAGACCCTGCTCAGCCACTGGGCAGAAGGCAAAACGGCTGTCCATGGACAGAGAGCTGCTGGATCTGGGCCCTAGGCAGATCCACCAGGGAGTGGGAAGAGGAGAGAGGAGGAGGGAGGGAGAGGGAGAAACGAGAGACGCCCATACTGCCTACAAATATATTATCTATGCTTCATGCCATATATGTAGTAATATAATATTAACATACAGTAACTATAGTATATGTATGTTACAGTTTCTATACTATAGTATATACATAGTTTATATATAGTAACCATAACATATTATATATAAAACAAATCATTATACTATAATTCTCTAATATGTATAGTTTTATTGTGGCAACTATAATATATGTAATATATAATATATAATAATAAATAATCCCCTAATACTTAAACGTCAGTAGAACATACAGGAAGTAAAATGAAGGCAACATTCCCTTTTCTTACTCTGAAATTTTTCCAATTATTCTACTACTTTAATTTTTTTCCTAGATGTTCCTGACTTCTAAAAACCAGTATCCTTCCCAGGTGTATCACCTAGCAGCCCTTTAGTTAGCAGCCAGCATCCTAGGAGTGGCACTGGCTGTGCTCTAAAGGCTCCCTGTGAATTCTGTTTCCTTTGAAGCGGGGTTGGGCCTGGTTGCCGGGGGAATGGCGCTGCTTCTTCCTGAGACCAAAGGGATCACCTTGCCAGAGACCATTGAGGATGCAGAGAACCTTGGGAAGTGAGTGCACAGTGCTCTGGGGCTCGGGGCCCACCAGACTTGCCTTCTGGGGCCTCCATTTCCTCCCTCTGTCTTTTTTTTTTTTTTTCCCCTCCCTCTGTCTTAATGGGTTAGGAGAGCTTTGTAGATTAGTATGTGTGTGGTTTTTTTTTTTTTTTCTTACTCCCAGAGCTGCTGGAGAAACACAAACAGCCACTGGCTCTGGGTAAGGAAAGATTGGAGAGCATGAATATGTGATTTTTGCTGGGCAGTTATCAGTTCTAAACTGTGGGACAGAGCACATGTGTCTGAGATGCTGACTGATGAAGGACCGAGTCCCTAGCTCATCCCTGGAACTAACTGCTCTGCATTGGGAACTATGTTTATTTATTTTTAAAGATTTTATTTATTTATTCATGAGACACACACACACACAGAGAGAGGCAGAGACAACAGGCAGAGGGAGAAGCAGGCTCCATGCAGGGAGCCCGACATGGGACTCGATCCTGGGTCTCCAGGAACACACCCTGGGCTGCAGGTGGCGCTAAACCAGTGAGCCACCAGGGCTGCCCGGGGAACTATGTTTAATTCAATCTTCTGTCCTTTTAGCAAGTTGGTTTAGGTTCTTTAGTGACTCTTTACAAAGAAGAATGACTTAAAATTTTCATTCTTGTGAAGGGGACAAGTGCTTTAATGGAATCTGAGATTCTACTATTTTTTAATTTTTTATATTTTTAGAGAAAGAGCAAGAGCGAGTGGGGGAGAGGGGCAGAGGGAGAGGGAGAGAGAAAGCCTCAAGACTCCCTGCTGAGCACAGAGCCCATCAGGGGCTTGAGCTCACCATCCTGACCTGAGTCAAAATCAAGAGTAGGATGCTTAACCACCAAGCCACCTGGGTGCCCCTCTGATTCTACTCTTAGAGCAATAAAAAAGGAAAGGAATAAATAGTGCTCGAGGAGATGGTCACTCAAGTCCCCGTCCAGGCTCACTCTGTGGATTCCATAGGAAAGACACATGTGTCCCTGATAATAGTCTGTAGGGTCAGAGAGACCTGGGCTCAAAGCCAGTCATCCACTTGGCCAGTGACTTTGGGGATATTGTTGAACCTTAAAGAAAGTTAACTTCCTTGCCTGAGAAGTAGCTACAGTAGGACTCAGTTTAGAGGGTCACTGGGAAAATGCAATGAGATAAAGCAGGTGACAGTGACTAAACAATTGCCTGAGACATAGTAGGTGTTCAATAAATCTGGAATTTTCTCCATTCTTCTTGCATATTGTGTAAACTCCTCGGTGAGTCTCAAAACGGAGTATGTAGGAGAATCAAATAAAAGCAGCTTACTGAAATGCAGATTCCTGGGCCTTCTAGGGTTATCGAGTTGGTAAATGAAAACTGTGCCCCAAGAATCTCTGCTTTTAATAAACTCTGCCAGTGAAGTGCATTTAAGTGCTTCATAAACTTCACTTTGAGAAATAATGCGTGTCTCGGCACTGATAAGGGACACTATTTTAACTGTAAACACATTTTCTAGTTGCTGACAGATAGCTAATATTGATTACCAGATCATAAGCTGTTTCATTACAATTTGTCCATAGGCACCTGCTTATCTTTTGAAATCTTCCTCTGCTGGCCTCTTCTCTCTTTTGCTTGCTAATCTCATTTTTACCTTTTGAAATGTATTCCTATGGACAACTTTGCCATAGTTTCTTTTTCTTTCTTTCTTCTTTTTTGCAATAGTTTTTTTTTTAAAGATGTATTTATTTTAGACAGAGAAAGTGAACAGGAGGGAGGGGCAGAAAGAGAAAGAGAGAGTCTTAAGCAGACTCCCTGTTGAGTAGGAGCCCGACATGGGGCTCGATCCCATGACCCTGAGATCACGACCTGAGCCAAAACCAAGAGTCAGACGTTTAACCCATGGCACCACCCAGGCGCCCTGCAACAGTTGCTTAATCAAAACATTGACTGTTTTTTTTTTTAACTTTCATTTTTATTTTTGGCTGCTGCAGGATAGCAAAGCCCAAAGAAAACATGATTTACCTTCAGATCCAGACATCAGAATGTGCCGGCACCTGAGAGAGACACTTCGCTCGGAACGAGTGGCAGAGATGAAGATGGGGTTTTCATCTGAAGAAATGCTTACAAACCCTTATTTCTCTGTTCTTCGTCACTCTTGCCTGCCCTTAAACCAATATCCTGAAGAACACTGCATGAGTTTTATTTTCTTCCTTTGAAATCTCCCAAAGCTCTGGTTATCTTTCATCTACTTACCTTTCCTAGTGAGAGCTGTTGGTGGTTACCAGTTACTAATTATCTAAAATATTTTGAAGAGTCAATAGAATTTAAACATTGCTGTAAAAGAGGATTGTGTTACTGGTTTCCCACTGTTTTATTCACTCTGAGAGAAAATGTCTTTGTATTTGTAGTATCTATCCTGGCAAAAGTATCTCAACATGTAACTTTCTTGAAGGGCACTTGTTTCTCAAGCCTGGCGCCACTTCCAGCAAACCATACCTGAGTCATGTTTGCACACAACTAATAGAATAAAACCTGACCTTCATCCAAAAGCAAGAAGTACTGTAATCTTCTTAGGAAGAAGTTTTGGCCACCTCTGCTCCAGGAGTATTGGATTCAATTTCACTCTTGGTTTTCATTCTTGTTGGTGATTCTAGAAGGTAAACTCCTACGCCAGCTGTAAAGCATTGTACTAAATATATCAAAAAGAGTTCAGTTTACTGTGAGTTATGTGGTACATGGTTCAAGTTCTGGTTGAAGAAGTGATTTCATTCCTATAGAATACATACAATTTTATTTTAAAATTTCTTTACCAGTGAAATGAATCAAAGACAACATAGTAGACAGCCCTCAGAGTGTATTGGGAAACAAAGTTCCTAATGTGAACTGGGAGGGATGGTGAAAGACAGGTGGTTGTGTCATAAACACATCTGGCCTCATGGGCCAAGCTCAGTGATCCTCTCAGGGACACAAGACCACGGCGTTCAGGCCTGAGCGGCATTTGGTCTTCCTTTGAGGATGGACATTGGCTACTTGGAAATCTACAGCTTTGCCCTTGACAAAAAGAAAGAAAGAAAAAAAAGGCCCTGTCTTCCGAACTCTATTTTAAAATCCATCTGGCTACACGGGGAGGACCAGCACTTCATTTCTGCTCCACGCCAAGGCCCTTGCCTGATATCTTTCTGATCGTAACATATCCTTCAGTCCTAACAAATATATAATGTGGGCCTCAAATCATTTTTTAAAATATGTGTTAGAGGGATCCCTGGGTGGCTCAGTGGTTGAGCATCTACCTTTGGCTCAGGGTGTGATCCCAGTCCTGGGATCGAGTCCTGCATCAGGCTCCCTGCATGGAGCCTGCTTCTCCCTCTGCCTGTGTCTCTGCCTCTCCAGGTGTGTCTCTCACGAATAAATAAATAAAATAAAATATTTAAAATATGTGTTGGAAATGCCTTCTCGGTTCCTTCTTAGAATCCTTTGGTGAAACTTCTGAGGAGGCTTTAGCCAAGAGGAGTGTGTGTGTGTGTGTGTGTGTGTGTGTGTGTGTGTGTGGACTGAGGGTCAGCCTCCTCCAGGGCATCTGCTCACCTGCTCCGCCAATGGAGGGGGGTCACTCAGGCCTGGAGACCGGGTTTTACCTGGAGCCCAACTGCAGAAAGTGTATTTGTTGCCTGACGTATGGCGGGGAGGCCCTGGCAATCCTTCCCTTCTTGCCTTCCTCCATGTGGCTACTGGGGAGCCACAGTCAGTCCAGACTGAGGGCAGAGGGGGCTTGTCAGGTAGCACCAAGGCAGAGATCAGGTGCTTGCAGAGAGAGATGAAGTCTAAGTACTCGGGGGCCAGGGAGGCTGCAGGTGTCAGGAGATCAGAGGCCCTTCTGGTGAGGACCTGGCAGCGAGGCCGCTGGGCCCCTCCTCGGGGAGCAAGGCTGTGGGTCCTATTCATCCAGCAAACAGGTGCCGAGCACCTGCCTAGGTCACCCTGGGCTCTCAGAATAGGCCACACAAGGCTGCAAGTGAGGAATGCATCCAATGGACGATGCAGGAGCTCCCAGCAGCTCTCTCTGAGCTGATTCAGGTGGTGCTGGCAGGGATGGGGGAGCAGGGCAGCCAGGCTCATCAACAGACAGAGGGACATGAGGGTCTGACGACCAACTCCCCGGTCCTGCCCCAAACATTCCCTTCAGCATCTGGCATGCGACCCTTTGAGATCTCATCCTGTGGGTCTTGCAAGTCAACCGCTGACATAGGAGAAGTAGAACCCCATGCTGGGGAGTGGGTGAGGGGATGGGGCTGCCCATCGCATGAGAGCAGGTGAGGGCTGGGGGCCTGTGCACAGTGCCCAAGGGGGGCTGATGTAACAGCAGGGCAGGAAGCACTCACTTGCAGCCTTGTGCCTAGGGCGTGGCATGCCTGGCTCTTGGCTCCTGTCTCAGTGAAGTGTTCTTTCTTTTACCACTTGGGAAAAAGATGCTCACTTTTAAACTGCATGCACATCATGGTTGGTTTATGGAAGTGTTGAATCCATCTTGTTCTCTTTCTCCCTCTCTCTCTCCACACACACATGCACAAACACACACTACAAATATATTACATTTCACATCACATATTACATTACCTATGAAATCACCCCAAACATGCCTGGCTGCATTTGAAATGTCTCAATGGGTACATTTCCCAAACATAGCGGTGAAAAATTTTGCTCTAATTAAATAACTCCCCTCTCCACTAGGTACTAAGCCCTCAAATGTGAGAGAAAGTGTCTTACCTTCTACCCTTTAGGAGAGTGGAGTGGAAGGAAAACCCTCTCTGCGTCCAATGCTGCTGTCCCCTTGGGGACAGGATTGATCCTGGGGATTAGATGGCCTTTTGTTTAGCAAATATGCCTCCCCAGGACCTTTTGGGAATGAAGGTAAGGCCAGGAAGGGGACAAGGAAACAAAGAGATTGCTAATTGGCTGCCCAGATTTCCAAAAACTCAAAGCTGCTTTCTAGATTAAAAATAGGGGGATGAGGGCAGCCCAGATGGCTCAGTGGTTTAGCGCTGCCTTAGACCCAGGGCCTGATCCTGGAGACCAGGATCGAGTCCCCCATTGGGCTCCCTGAGTGGGGCCTGCTTCTCCCTCTCCCTCTCTCTCTCTTTGTGTCTCTCATGAATAAATAAAATATTTTTTAAAAATAGGGGGATGAAGGGAGCTAGAAAGAAGTTGTGGGCATAGGTGCACATTTGGCCAGATGGGCCCTTCCAGGCAGGCAGTTCCCGTGCCCCGCCTATGCATCCTTAACCTGTGGAGAAAGAAGCGAGGCTGTGGAAGATGAACAGGCATCCTGCAGCTGGCACAGCTCACTTGTGACAATGATGACCGAGGTCAAGAACATCTACCCTCTCATTGCTGTGACAACGCCCCTCACTGTTTTTTTTTTTTTTTTTTTGTCCCACATCTATAAACAAAAGGAATCACAATAGCCACATGATCCAAAAGAAATTTACTGCACGTTCTGTGGCTGTCCCTGACACAGCCCCTTGCTGGTGATTTCAGATGGAGTCTCTGTGGGTCCCAAGAGGGTAACAATAGGGGTGTTTGAAGAGTCAGAGAGCAGCTGGGGAGAGAAGTTGGGAAGGCACGCCCCGTCCTCCATCCTTCTCATCAGACTCTAGTTGTGCTTCCGACTAGTCAGGGAGGGAGAGGTGGGACTGTTCAGAGCATCCAGCTTGGCCACGTAGTGACCCAAATTTCCAGGAAACCCTTTCTGTTTGCATCTATGCATTGGGAGCCCTCTAAGGGCGACCAAAATGTTCACCGTGTGCCTGGACCGGCTATGAGTCAGCGCACCCCCGTCTCCCACCTCTGTGACTTCTTTCCCAAGGGTTGATGTCATTTCCTTTGACCCCACACTCTGCAATTTGCTGTCCAGCTCGAAGCTCGAGAGTGTCTGGTTTTTATCTGCAGTATCCCAGGCATTCACATCGTTACTACAATGTAGGATCGTTCTTGGTTGTGGACGTGTAGAAGGCACAGCTTTTGTGGCCTGATTTTAGTGTCGGTTCTCACTTTTACTTTTAGTCAGGTGTCTTGAAATCATTTATTATTTTTTAAAGATTTTATTTATTCATTCATGAGAGACACACACAGAGAGAGGCAGAGACATAGGCAGAGGGAGAAGCAGGCTCTCTGTGGGACTCTATCCCAGGACCCCGGGATCACATCCTGAGCTGAAGGCAGATGCTCAACCACTGAGCCATCCAGGTGCCCTGAAATGATTTGTTATTTTACTCTGTGGCTGGGGCACCACTCTGCCTACTACAAGAGCCCATGAGGCCATCAAATGTGCACTCTAGAAATCCAGATTTTACAGAATTTCCTTAAATAAATAAATAATTTTTAAAAATAAATAATTTAATTTAATTTAGAAAGATCATGATTCTAAGAAGAGTTGCTATACTAGCCTTACGAACAAAAACAAAAACTCAGAATTCAAGAAGAGGAAGGAAACATTTTTGCCAAAGACTCTTGGAGATGTCTAAGGTAGTGTTAAAAAGATTTCTAAACATGGAAAATCCACAAAGACCACACAGGGACAATTGCACCATCATAAAAACAGTGATTATGGTCAAATGAGACAAGTTGAGCCTATAAAAAGAGTTAGAAGTCCATAATAATACTCAAAAGGGACAAATAATAGGAATTGTGCCAAGGAAAAAGTGCACATGAGTTTCTCATAAAGTTTACAAGACATTCTGTTAATTGTTCAACACAGCTAATGTGAGTTTTCTCCTCAATGTTCGACTCACACCAAGGTTGACAGTCATAATGAGAAGCAGATGGAAAGAGGAAGTGAAGCATGTTTAAAGTATATGATGTATATGGTTTGACCATTTTCTTTTTATTTCTTTTCAGATTTTTATTTAAATTCTAGTTAGTTAACATACAGTGCAGAATTGGTTTCAGAAATAGAACTTAGTGATTCATCACTTACATACAACATCTAGGGCTCATCACACCAAGTGCCCTCCTTCATCCCCATCATCCACCTAGCCCATCCCCCTCCACCCTCCTCCATCAACCCTCAGTTTGTTTTCTATCATTAAGAATCTCTCTCAGTCTTTTTAAAAGATTGATTGATTGATTGATTGATTAATGAGAGACACAGAGAGAGGCAGAGACATAGGCAGAGGGAGAAGCAGGCTCCCTGTGGGGAGCCCGATGCAGGACTCGATCCCAGGACCCCTGATCACGCCCTGAGCCAAAGGCAGACACTCAACCACTGAGTCACCAAGGTGCCCCACTAAGAGTCTCTCATGGGTTGTTTTGCTCTCTTTTTCTTTTTTCCCCTTTCCCACATGTTCATCTGTTTTGTTTCTTAAATTCCACATATAAGTGAAATCATATGGGTTTTTTTTACATTAAAATATGTTGACCATGCAGAATTATGGGACCTGGTCAAATCCTTCCAGGGCTCAACCCAAGCTGGAGACTGGAAGTTTAGGGGTAGGAAGTGTTGGCCTGCTTGGTGTGTGTAGGAGAGGATGACCAGTGCATGGGTGGGGGGCTGGCAGAGGGGCCATGGAGCCCTTGGGTGCTGCTCTCACTGCAGCTCACACCAGAGAGGAGCTGCTGATTTGGGTCCCACTGCCCATCATGCCACCATGTTGTGCCCTGGGCAGAAAAAAAATAGTCACAGAATTATTTAACGCCTTGAAAGATTTTTAAAAATATTTCAAAATGATACACCTTCTTAACTGAAACTGAAAAACTGGAAACCATAAGACAGTTCCTTCCTACCTTATCTGTCACATGCTTGACAGTCATTATAGTCACATCTTCAAATGGCACTGTCCATTCAGGCCAGAGCCGTCAAAAATGGAGACAATTTTGCAGGCACAGGAGCTCCCCGCTTCTTCCTGCTGTTGCAGGTAGGCTCTGGGAGGATAAGGACAGATGCTGGTCAGACAGTGAAGGGGGGACTCTCCATGAAGGTACCACACAGCAACACCTCCGAGGAAGAAGTAGGAACACTTGCCTTGATTATTAAATTGGAAGATCATAATCAGATATATGCACTTAAAACTATATGTGTTCTTTTTATTTATTTATTTATTTTTAAAGTTTTTAATTTATTCATTCATGAGAGACACAAAAAGAGAGAGGCAGAGACACAGGCAGAGGGAGAAGAAGGCTCCACGCGGGGAGCCCGATGTGGGACTCGATCCTGGAACTCTAGGAATTTCTTTTCTTTTTTTTTAATTTTTTGTTTTAAAGATTTTATTTATTTATTCATGATAGACAGAGAGAGGCAGAGACACAGGCAGAGGGAGAAGCAGGCTCCATGCCGGAAGCCCGACGTGGGACTCGATCCCGGGACTCCAGGATCGCGCCCTGGGCCAAAGGCAGGCGCTAAACCACTGAGCCACCCAGGGATCCCCTATTTTGTTTTTAGG